ACCTCTCCTGCATAGCCTGTTCCTACACAGTTTCTGGGCACTATTCCTTAAGAAGGAATAATCAATTGCACAAATACAAAAAATGGGAAATGACTGCCTGGGAAAGAATACTGCAGAAAAGGACCTGGGAGTTATGGTGGATCACAAACGAAATGAGTCAACAATGTAATACTGTTGTGCGCCCCCACCCCAAAAGAGAGAACATCATTCTGGAATGTATTAGCAGGAGTGTTGAAAGCAAGAGACAAGAAGTGATTCTTTCACTCTACTCAGCACTGCCAGTTCTGGGCACCACACTTCAGGAAAGATGGGGACAAATTGGAGACAATCTGGAGGAGAGCAACATAAATGATTAAAGGTCTAGAAAACATGACCAATGAGGGAAGATTGAAAAATTGGGTTTGTTTAGTCTGGAAAAGAGAAGTCTGAGGGGGGGACATAAGTCTTCAAGTACATAAAAGGTTGCCATAAAGAGGAGGGTGATAAATTGTGCTCCTTAACCACGGAGGACGGGACAAGAAGCAATGGGCCTAAATTGCAGCAAGGGAGATTTAGGTTAGACCAGGAGTTCTCAAACTTCATTGCACCGTGACCCCCTTCTGACAACAAAAATTACTACATGACCCCAGGAGGGGGGACCAAAGCATGAGCCTGCCTGAGCCCTGCCATCCCAGGTGGGGGGCCAAAGCCAGAGCCCTGCCATCCCAGGTGGGGGGCCAAAGCCAGAGCCCTGCCATCCCAGGCTGGGGGGCCAAAGCCCAAGGGCTTCATGCCTGGGCAGGGAGCCTGTAAACTGAAGCCTGAGCCCCAGGTGGTGGGGCTCGGGCTTCAGCTTTGGCCCTGTGTCCCAGTCTAACTCCAGCTCTTGAGACCCCATTAAAACAGGGTCACGACCCACTTTGGGGTCCTGATCCATAGGTTGAGAACCACTGGGTTAGGAAAAACTTCTTAACTGTCAGGGTAGTTAGGCACTGGAACAAATTACCTAGGGAGGCTGTGCAATCTACGTCATTGGAGGTTTAACTGGTGAGACAATCACCTGTGAGGGATGGTCTAGATAATATTCAGACCTGCCTCAGTGCAGGGGACTGGAATGGATGACCTGTTGAGGTCCCTTCCAGTCCTACATTTCTATGATTCTATGTCTAGCTTCATTTCCTTATGGTGACCTCATTCAGGTCATACTTTAGAGAGTGGGCATAGCCTTGGCTAGTCGATGACGTTCATGAAGATTGATGCACAGGAGGCATTCTTAGTTGAGGAGTACCTTGTCTGAGTGCCGTAAAATGGGCAGCACGTAGCACTTTTACAGAGATTTATTACCTAACAACCCACTGAGGTAGAATGGTATTAGCTGTCATTTAACAGATGGGCAAACTGCTTAACCCCTTTGCCTCCATTTCCCCAAGATGTCAGTGGCAGCCTGGAATTAGAACTCCAGAATTTCTGGCTATGTCCTGTGACTGGACTTCTCTGAGATTTAATGTTCAACAGCCATGAGCGCCTTAGATGTAAGGTGCTATCGAAGTGCAAAGTATTATTCTTTCTCATCCCTGGCCCTGGGAACTAGAGACTTAAGTTTGTATGAGGTGTTGTTTGTATATTGCCCAATAAAAGTCTCCCAGAAATTTTTCACTTTTCTTCTGCCTTTTTACTTTATCTTGTCTGGGGTGGGTATCAATTAAGATGCCCTGCACCATCCCAGAGTTGTGCTGATTGTCTCCAAATCCTTTGCAAGCTAATGCCAATCGACACGTGCTACAGACCTGTTGTGGGCAGTGGGGGAACTGATGCTTTTATAATATATTGACTATAGGTGCACCTACATGAGGAAAATGTGCCATTCTTCCAGGATTCCAGCACCTGCACTAGGTGTTGGAAACAGTTTGACCCTGTCAGTATTATCAGCCAACTATTTCCTGTCCAGTTTGAGAGTGAGTCGCAGGGAGATGCGTGATTGACACCCAATATCAGTTTTTCCAGCATTTAAAAACATTTCTAGTGGTTCTTAAGGTTCTGCAGTTTCCCAGGTACAGGATGGGGATTTTCTTACTCAGAGAAGCATGCTACGTGACCCCTAGTTTATACTAATAGTACTGTTCTGATGTGTTTCTTGGGGAGCTGGAATCTATCCCTGCATTGTTGGAGCTACTTGTGAACATGGTTGTTGCTAATACTGTTTCAGTTTTGGTGTACACGCGGCTTTAATGTAATCAAGGGAAGTGCTTTCACAACTGTTAGTTCCTCTTGTCCATGTAGTGTGTGCTGCTTTTGAAGTGATTTGTATTTAAAATCAGAATCTCAACACTCAGTCAGAAAGTCACAGCCTCTTCTCCATGCTCTGAGGGGAAGAATGATCACGGAAACAGCAGGAACATACTAGCACAGTGTCACCAGAGAGAATAGTATGCCTTAAATATGGGGTATTTCTAAGCATGGGCACTTGACATGCTTTGTAAAGAAAATCCAAAAATGTGCTAAAGAAAATTGTGTTCCCGGTTGCTCTTGCTCAGTCCCTGTCCTGATGTCGGCTTTCATACTGTCTGACTCAGTCAAAGGCTTGACTTCTCTTTAGAAATCATGTGGGAAAATGCTAACCCTGCACATGGCAATGCCAGCAGCCAATTCCTTCATTGATCTTGTGATAAATATTTGGCCATGGTTTATTTGGGCAAAATGTCCATGTGACACGGCTCTGTGACTGAGAATCATGAAATCTTTCGAAACTTTCTCCATTTAGTGCAGCGCTGTCTCCACTTGTTGGGTGATGTTTTTGGAGGTAGCAGAGAGGTTGGCCATTCAGTTAGGGCCACCAATAATTTGATTCATGTGTTGTTGTTTTTTTGTTTTTTGTCTTGTTGGTTTTGTGTGGCCAAGCTGGAAAATATAGATGTTGTGCCCCTTTAAATGTTTTGTTACTGACACTGACTATACTTTTATTTTACAGTTTGGTTATTTCCTTGGCATAATATGTGGGTCAGGGCTTCTGGTCTGTCTGTCTCTTTCTCTCTCTCATGCACACTGACACAGAGTTGTAAATATTTAAAAAAGCCTTTGTGAGGGGTACTGATTCTAGAAACAATTAGAAGCTTATTTGTTTGTTCATCTTTCCTTAGAGAAAAACAGAATATAAGTTATTTTTGTCATCTGTAATCCTTTGTCCATTTCGGTGGTGCGACCCAGATTCGCTGCTGTGATGCTTTGTGAAGTGCAGCAAAGGGGTTAAGCTGCTGGAAAGAAGTCTCACGAGTATGCATCTGGTTTGTTTGAAGAACAGTATTAAACTTCAGTGACTAGAAACCACCTTGAAATCTTAAGAATGCTACTATTGGTCAAAACACAGTAGGTCATAGTCTCTGAACTCCCTCGTTGAATTGCTGGGGAATGGGAGTACTTCATATGTGAATAGATTTTGTGCTACTTGAACTGTACCATGAGATAAGGTTGACTGACTTTTTCGAATCTGTGTCCTGTACAAAGATGGCGCTATGGCTGGGTTTTTTTTCTATTCCTCTTTGGACTTGTGGGACCCAGACAGAGATCGTTTGAGTGCCTTTCAACACTCCTTATGAGGCTGAAAGTGTCACTGTTGAGAAATGGGATGATCTCACTTTTCCTGTGTTCCTCGCACTCTGGGATTGAGCGAACCGCTCTTCAGCGCTTCTAACTTTGGCCATGTCTATGCCAGTCTTTTTTCTCAAGTTGCTACTGTTGGTGGAACTGCTGTGGTGGGAATACTGGTTGCTGGCATTTTAAGCACCATGTTATGTGGCCCTTGCTCTGAGCTGGCACTTGGTCTGTGCTAACATTGCCACAGTGACTACTGCCAGGGGAGCTGTAACCTTGGTCTCTATGGTAGGAATTTTTTTGGGAACAGTGTTACCATAGATGCAGCTTTCTGGCCCGGGAAGCAGAAGGCAGAGTTATAGAACAGGTTCAGTCTTCTAAAAGTGAATCTACCCTGTTCAGGCAATTTTATCCTTTGAGACAAATGGGTTTGATTTGGGGAATTTGATATAAAGAATTCAAGGTGATTACAAGGGGAACAAAGGAAACTGTACTTCTGCTGTTCTTGCTGCTTTATAATGTATAAACTATGCCTGAAAGATTTATTTAGGAAAGTTTTGCTTGTGTGTTGTACTTTTTGTTGATTGGTTGGGTTTTTTGTTTTGTTTTTTGTTTTTTTTATGTCAAAAATTCAGGTCTTGTTTACCCTGTTTTCTTGGAAGCTTGGTAGTAGGTCTGTAATTTCAGATGACAAGGGATCTGAAATAAAACATGATTAATGAGGAGGGAAAGTGATGTTTATCCAGACAGCTGAGAGCCCTTTTTGTTTGTAAGCATATTTAAATCAAACGTCCAACAAACAGGTGTGAGAAAACTCCTCTTGTTAAAGATTCAACACTACCACCTCTTCTGTTAAGGTCTGAGTGCATTTCCAAACTACATCTCCGGGTCCTCCAAGAGACACTTTCTGCAAAATAGGGAAGGCAGGAATTTTACATTTTTGACACTTCGAAGATAAAAGACCAAGCAAGGAAAAACCCTTAGTGTACAAAAAGGAGCCAGGTCTTCCCCATGAAAAGAGAAATATGAATTCTGACTCCACAAAAATAGGGAGGGTTGACATAGAGGTGTTAAAATATAGTCAATTAGAACTTTGAATGATTAGCTCCTTCTCCCATCAAAATATCAGAGCTAAAGTAGGGTGGTAGCTAAGAAGATAGGGCAGGAATTAACTGACAGCCCGTCTGTGGATATTGAGTAATCCAGCCCACAGGATTGACTTTTACTCTGGAAGCTTTTAGACTGGTCTCTAAATTAGGAAAAACGGTATGATGTTGTCCAGAGTCAACAGTGCAAGAGCTTGGAAAATTTGTCCCTTCTTTATATGGGGAGTGCTAACTTGTGAACAAGGCACAGTAATAGAGTGAAGATAAGATGAACTATAGTAACTTAATCAAGGAGAGGTGACAGAGATTTTTGTGTTGACTTCACAGAAAAGGCGACTGATGGCTCCTTGCAGAGTGAGGATTGGACACTTAACATGGAGATCTGTGACATTATCAACGAGACAGAAGAAGGGTATGTGCTATTACAGATAACTTTGGGCCGTTCACACGTCTTGCTGTCACGCTGGCACTGAGCTTTGTTCTTCAGCATGCTAGGTGGTGCAGCGGGCTAATGCACAGGTGTCCTCAGATTAAATCCCATTTTTAGGTAGCAAATGAGTTGTTTGGTCTCCTCATCCCAAACTGACACTGCTCCACTTCAGACAACCAGCATGTCTTATGGCACTTGCTAGTGTAGACCTCTGCTCAGGAGAGTTGGAGGGTTAGAATAACTTGGGATGTGGCATGTCAGGATTGAGATTCATTAGCAGAGCTCTATGTTGGCCCAGCACCAAAATGACAGCACTAGATTTTCATGGTGCAATACCTAATTCCTGGGTGTTTCCAAAAAGCGCATGCTAAATGTGCTACAATAGGGATCATTGATCCTGTATTTTTAGGAGACTTGCTTGTAACTTCCAAGCTGCCAAATGCTGCAATGCTACCAGATCCTAGCATTTGAAGAGAGGGACCTCTCCAGTATCATCTGTCCCTTCAGCACTCAGGCTGTGTTGCTTGCGCTACACAGCTGGCCTGTTCTCAATGGTGTTACGCCTGTGGCCTCTTCCTGAGTGCCTGTCAGTCTTGCTGTCTCATTCATACATCGCCCTTGTATCTGCATTCACATGCTGAGCTTTCAATGATTATAGCTGGGTTATCTAAAGTTAACGCCAGTGTTCCTGCCCTGTCAGAAAGAGTTAGGGAATGCCGATGTTCCCACCTTATGAGGAGTGAAAATGATATGTTTTTCTCCTTCAGTCCAAAGGATGCTATCCGAGCACTGAAGAAAAGGCTGAATGGAAACAGAAATTACAGAGAGGTGATGCTGGCTCTAACGGTGAGTGTGGTGAGCTGGGAAAGTGCCAAAGAAACCTACCACAGTATGGTTTACCTTCAGAAAGGGGAACTACACAAAAACGAGGATGCTAGTTAAATGGAAATTAAAAGGAACAGTCACGAGGGTGAAATGCCTGAAAACTGCATGGAGACTATTTAAAAACACCATAATAGAGGCTCAAACTAAATGTATTCTCCAAATTAAAAAAAAAAAAAAAAAAAGACCACTGTCACTAAATAGCAGAGCAAGAGAGACAGAGACAAAAAGGCATCCTTTAAAAATTGGAAGTCAGATCCTAGTGAGGGAAAATAGAAAGCAGCATCTACTCTGGCAAGTCAACTCTAAAAGTATAAGGCAGAATTTGGAGAGCAACTAGCTAAGGGCACAAAAACTAATAATGTAACTTTTTTTGTAAGTACATCAGAAACAGGAAGCCTAAACTAAATCAGCATAAATTACTACATTGTGCGTTTGCACAGCCCTACTGGAGCGTGAGGTCATTTGGCAGTGACCTTTCCTGCTGATCATGTCAGCAAGGCTATTGGTTGAAAAGGGCCTACTGGGTGACATGGCAGATGAGAATGTGTTTTGGTGGGTGAAACTTGCACTTCCTGAATGTAAGGGACAAATACCATTGACTAGATCAAGGCATAATGTGGGTAGGTGATCTGCATGTGTTTTCCCCTGCACTCTGCCAGCACACTTCAGTCCTCCCTTGCTACATCCTATGCTGCTCCCTCCTTAGCATAGATGGTTGCCAGTTGTGCTGACCTGTGTGGTGGTTGTCACTTGTATGAAGATGACAGTTCTAAATTCTTTGTCATTCTTTACCTAACTAGCTTTGACTCAGTTTCTGAAGATGAAGTGCTCTTGCACTAATCCATTGTTAGCTCGGTCTCCTCGTGGCCACTTCCTGCCCTGGGTTGTCATTCTGATAGCTGCCAGTTAAGGGTTTTGATGGAGAGAACTAAAATAAGGTGCTAGTGCCCCAGGGAGCAAAATGAGACTGCTTTGTCCATCATAATGTGGATATGGAATTATACGTTCTCTTGAAAAGAGGCTGAAATCTGGACTTGCAGGCCTCAGTGCCCATGTCGTCAGGTGCGAGGACATCAGTAGGAGCAGAAGCTCCTCGGCTATGGGGTCCTGGCAGTTATTCGCCATGGTTATATGTAAAAGCTGTGTGTTGTATTCATCTCCACGTGCATCATGTTCGGCACAGAAAAGAGTCAATAGCTGGTGTTCCGTGGTAATTGAATGTCCAAGTGAGAGTGACTCCAGCTAAGTTATGGGGAAAATGTGTCTTGGGGTATAACCTGTCAAATAATTCAAAAGCAGTGTTTTGAAGGATTTAAAATAATTTGTCATAATCCCCCTGTAAAACTCTGTAACATGGATTGTAAATTGGGGTGTCCTGGTTCAATCACATTTCAGAAGCATTGTCAATGGGTATCTCTAAACCCGACCCTGTGACAGGATATCCATTTGACATGTCCTTGCTGTAACAACCTATGTGCTGAAATTTGGTGTACAAACGGCATTAGTGAGCAAACGTGAATGAAAATGGCAGAAACTTTTACTTCTTCATCTTGACAATGAGAAAAGTTGGATCACAAAAGTCTCGGGTGTTAATATTAGTGATTTATTTTATCACAAGACAAAAGCTATCAAGAAAGGAAAAAACTTTAATATGAATCACATTTTGTCAGCATCTTTTGGTGCCCAAGGCATAATTTCTAGTGATATTGTCTCATCAGCTGGATCACCCACTCACTGACTAATGTCCAAAGCAAAGGTCCAAAATTACTAGTGAAAATTATAATGAGAGAGGGCTACATATTTGATCTAATTCAGCTTCAGGGTACATCTAAAGGAAAATTGCTACACTTTGGCTATTAACCAATCGACTGGTTTGCATGGTTCCTGGTAAAGGTGACTGAACATATCAATGAATTCCTAGGGTTGTGTGTAGAGGAGGAAGCTCTGGAGGGGTACTGTGGGGGGGTGCATAGGGGAAAGAAGCAAAAACAGGGTACTAAGCCTCCTCTTCCTCTCCTCCCCCCCTCGTGCCCCCTCCCCCCAATGCAGACACTTTGTACCAGGAGGACTCTTCCTTTGTTCCATCAGAGGTTATTTGTGTTTCTTGTGTAGGTATTGGAGACCTGTGTGAAAAACTGTGGCCATCGCTTCCATGTCCTCGTGGCAAACCGAGACTTCATAGATGGTGTTCTGGTGAAAATCATCTCGCCCAAGAACAATCCTCCCACCATTGTACAGGATAAAGTACTCGCCCTGATTCAGGTATGCAAGTCAGCTCTTCAGTTCTCTCTGCCATCTCTGAGATGGGGGCTGTCTTGCTGAGCACTGTACCGTGCTGAGCATGGTGTTAGTGCTAAATGTGCAATGGCAAACCCACAATGAAATGGGAGACACTAATATATGACGTTTAGGGGCAGAACTTACCTAGGGAAAAATGCCTTCTCAATTCTGAATACACAGGATTCTTTAAAGACACCACTTTGGTAGTGAGGTTTTTTTTTAAGGGCAGCACATCTACTGGTTAGACAGACGACCTAGAATTTGGTGACCTATATTCTGTTTCCAACCCTAATTGACTCACTGCGTGAGGTTAGACAAGTCATTTTAGCAGCACATTCTGCTCTCAATGAAATAAATGGGAGAACTCCTGTTGATTATTTTTTAAATAGTACAAGATCAATCTTTAATCTCTCTCTGCTCCATTTCCCTGTCTGAAAATGGAACTACTTTTCCATCTTTAATAAGCCCTTTGTACTTCTATAAGGAACATTCATCGAAAGATCTCATTTCCTCTGCTTGCTCTGCAGCAGCAGTTTACTCTCATACTGTTTCCTGAACTGTCAGCTCCTTGCCCACAGTGGTAAAGGTCAGAAGTGCACATCTGCCACTTATTTGTATGCTGCACAAAAAGCCAAACAAAGCCGTGCTAATTTCACGTCCCATTAGAATTGCATGAAGAAACACTGTTGCTGGAGGAAACTTGACAGTCATAGGAAGCTTTATTTGCAAGCTTCTACTAGGCTATTGCAAATACCAGGCAGTTAAAAACTTTGTATATTAAAAACTATATAAAGGTGCTGTGGTGGTTCTTGCTGGGAATAGGTTGACAGGCACATAATGCAGTTTTCAAAACATATCTTTAATTTGAGCGGGGAAACGGGCTAATGAATCTCTGGTTGTTTCTCGGGTAGTACATATTTAAAGCATATACAGGAACATAAACGAAGCCACTAAGACTTACTAAATAAGTTGTATTTCTTTAAAACAGGAAATAAATTTGGTGGAAGACTTAGGAGTGGACTGCATAGGTGCTTCAGAAGCCCCTTCGCCCTCCCTTCCAACCCACTGCTTCTTCCATAAATAATGCAACTTGAATAGAACTGTTTAAAAAAGACTCCTCTTAGTCCGAGTGAACCTTCACACGTCCCCTCCCTTCGGTGGGAAAGCCGATGGGCGAGGTCACAGTACAATAATCTGTATTATGTGCTATTAATAGAAACTTCTTAACACCAAAGTGTGTTTATTTCCTTACTAAGGCTTCTACGGTGGTTTTCTAGGATGCTGGCTAACTTGGTACCCGGATTCACGTCATTTCCATCCATTAATAGAACCAGAGTGGAACAGTGGTTGCAATGTTACCATGAAGCCAGAGTCATTGCTCTCTATAGTTACATATATTTATATCTGAATAGATCTAGTGCGGTGGGGTTAAAAACCTTCATTGGTTTAGAATCTGAAATGCCTTTTGGCGTATACAGAATGGAAATTGTGAAGTTGCCTGTGGTTGGCTCCTCTCACAATGTCTTTGTTTTGTTAGAGGTGGTGAGTGACTTTGTTTTCTAGATTATCAGATAATTCAGAGAAAGGGACTACAGAAGTACTTCTCAGCTCCCTGATGGGGGCACACAAACATGGAATATCCTGCCTCTCATCCAGCTTTCCTCAGCTTTAAGACTCTACTCTTCTTGTTCTCTGATCCAAGGGGTTGCTGTCTCTTCCCAGCTCCACTCCATTATAGCGTTCCCTCTTCTGTAGACTTTGTCACAAAGTTCCTTCTCTATCTTGGTCGGTCCTGCGCTTATTAGTGGATTTTCTTGCCTCAGAGATTCACCATGTGGGTTGGGGAACAGCCCAGAGACCTTCCCCTCTGGAAGAACCCACAGTCCAGGTCAATTGGGAGATTTGGGGGGAACCCGGGCCCGCCCTCTTCTCCGGGTTCCAGCCCAGGGCCCTGTGGACTGCAGCTGTCTATAGTGCCTCCTGTAACAGCTGCATGACAGCTACAACTCCCTGGGCTACTTTCTCCAGGGCCTTCCTTATTCTCACCACGGGACCTTCCTCCTGGTGTCTGATAACGCTTGTGCTCCTCAATCCTCCATCAGCACACCCTCTTGCTCCCAGCTCCTCACACTTGCACCACAAACTGAAGTGAGCTCCTTTTAAAACCTAGGTGCCCTGATTAGCCTGCCTTAATTGATTCTAGCAGCTTCTTCTTAATTGGCTCCAGGTGTCCTAATTAGCCTGCCTGCCTTAACTGGTTCTAGCAGGTTCCTGATTACTTTAGTGCAGCCCTTGCTCTGGTCACTCAGGGAACAGAAAACTACTCATCCAGTGACCAGTATATTTGCCCTCTATCAGACTCCTGTTCCCCACTGGTCTGGGTCTGTCACAACTTATGATTTAATAATAGGGAATTTTAATGCCTATACAAGTGAGGACTAATAGCATAAGCTAGAAGTATGGGAATGTGATGTGCAAACATCTCCTGAAACAACCCTAGCTGTTATACTCCTGTGTCTTTCCTGAGTGTGGATTGCTGCAAATTGGATGGTGTCTCCATCTTAAAACTAGTTAGGTAGTTTGTGCCCCCTACTGCTGTTGGGAAGCTGTTCCAGAACCTCCCTCCTCTGATGGTTGGAAACCTTCTTCTGATTTCTAGCCTAACTTTATTCATGGCCAGTTTTATATTCATTTGTTCTTGTGCCAACATGGTTCTTTAGCTTAAATAGCTCTTCTCCCTCCCTTGTGTTTACTCCCTGATGTATTTGTCAGCCTTCGTTTTGCAAGGCTAAACAAGCCAAGCTGTTTTAGTCTCCACTAATAAAATTGGCTTTCCATTCCTCCAATCATCCTCCCAGCCCCTCTCTGAAGATTAGTTTGAATCCATCTTTCTTGAACATGCGTGACTAGAACTGTACACAGTATTCCAGATGAGTTCTTCTCAGTGCCTTGTACAGTGGCATTAACAGTACTACCAGTACTACATTAACTATCCCTGTCAGTACTGGAAATAGCTCACCTGGGTGCTCTAGGTGCTACAGTAATACAAATAATGTTGCACTGACTAAGTTGACCGTAACACAAGTAGGGCATGTAGTATGGCCTCTATAGTCAACCAACAGATTTCACAACATTTTAAATTTATTCATAGTGTGTCAATTAAAACTGTATTTTGGAAATGTTTTTATAGAATACGGCTCTCGCCTGGATCAGGTGCTCACAAGATCAAATCTAGCAGGGTTAGGGCCTGCACTATGCCACACTGCAACTTTTGGAAATAGGAGTTCAGTGGTTCAGCTGTTTGGATGTGGGGTGAACCGAAGTTCCTTCTGCCCGGCTGTGCCACTGTCCAGGTGAAACCTGGACCCCTCAAAAAAAGAAGCTCAAATCAAAAGGCAAGATTTAAAGATTGGAGATGATTCAATGCAGAGGGAGATCTATACAGGCGAAGCAGCACAAATGAGTGTGTCTCCTTTCTGCAGGGGTGGAGAGTTGCAGAGGAGAGGCCAGATTAGCAGGTAGAAGAGTAGGAAGCCCCAGAGCTAGGGTGATGTGAGCTCACTGATTTTGAATTGGATGCAGAAATAGCTACAGGAAACCAGTGAAGCAGGGGTGCAATTGTCCCTCTTCCTGGGGAACCAAATCATAGTAAGAGCTCTGTGCAGCAATGCAGTGCACATGGGGTGGGACTCGGCGCATGAGTCATTCTGTGCAATGGCTCAACAGAGCTCACCTGGGGCCACGTCAGTTTCACTCTATTAGTTAAGGGCCAATAGAAAAGCAGAGTGGAAAATGCAATTCTATAGAAATGGGTTTAAACTGCCTCTCATGTAAATTACAAACATCAGGACAGTACAAGATTGGTTACTTCTGCAACAAGGATGCTTCTGTTGTAATTAAGGAAGTTTCCTTGAAGCTGACCTTTCAAACCGGAATGGCTCTTGCCAATTGGAGATAGTTCCTCCTGCTGAAATGGTGGAACTCCCATTGCATCTGAACAATCAATGCAATTAATTTACTGTAACAGTACTGGGAAGCAGAACTGTTAGCCTCCAAGAAATGATGGAGGTATATAGGGTACTAAATACAATTTCCTAGAAGTGAGCAGAGTAAAAGTGTAAGTAAAAATAAGATTAAGTATTTGAATCTATTTTATCCTTGATTGAAATGATGGCTGAAAACTTTTTTGGGGTGAAAATAGTCAAAGTCTATTTTCAGAAAATGACTACATGGTGAGCATTCGTGGAGAACTTTTTCCAATCTTACCCACATTTCTCTGAATAGCTCTCTAATTTAACAGTAGTTCTTTTCTTTCCGTGTGGCTTCTTTCATATGAAAAGCCATGTGGATCAAACTTTTAATGAAAGTATGGTCTTTTGGAATATGACCTAAGAGATTTTCGTGTGTGCACTTAGATTATCCTTTGCCTTTTATTACATTTCTTAGGAATTTTACTTAAATTGCTTCTGTCTCAAAGTTTATTGCAGGGCTAGAGTTAAGTATGAGGACAAATATCAATGTACCACCAAATATAACTAAACGAGTGCATTAACCGCTTCTGCCTATGTAATTGTTATGTGGGACTGCTATCCACTGTGAATCCCCATTTATGTTCTGTTTGATGCTTGACCATCTGGGTAGAAACCCAGAATCTTTCAGATAAGCTGTAATATTGAATGTCTCCTTTGAGACTGAAATGCATGAATGCGTTTCTGGTTTGGATGAGTCTCATGTGACAGAAGAGGTAGAACTTACAGATCATATGGAAGTCTTATGAATAATCCTGTATATTGTTTTCCAGGCTTGGGCAGATGCATTTCGAAGTAGCCCCGATCTAACTGGAGTAGTGCATATTTATGAAGAACTCAAAAGGAAAGGGATAGAATTTCCTATGGCAGATCTTGATGCTTTGTCTCCAATACACACACCACAGAGGGTAAGCTGCAGTGAAGCATTTTCCAGGGTCATATGAATAATTGGATAATACTCTTTTAACTTCTGCTCTTTTCCTCAGCTATTGATTTTATTAAACTTGCCCCAAACTTTCTCAAACCTGGATGGCCTTTGTAATAGTAAAAGGGAATGGAAACAAATAAGGGAACTTGGTTGACAGGCTGATAAACTACTGGCGTCCCCTTGTGACAAACATCAGCGCAAGAACAGAATAAGTTTGAAGGAGTTTTATACACTTATTCTGTACTGAATATTGTGATGTGTCACCAAACTGCCACACAAACGTAACTAATCTGCTCAGGAGCAGCCCTGGCAGGATCTATTGTTGAGTTAATTATCTCTCCCCCAGAGAGGACAATTGTTTCTGTTGATGATATGGTGGCACTGCCTTCAATGCATCTTGTGCAGATGAACAAAGAAGGCCTGACTTTCAAAGGTTGCAAGCCAGTGTTCTGCATTTTGTGTACTTTTTATTTTGCTTTACACAATTCATGGGGGACATCACGAGAAACCAATAGACGTCCCCCACTTTCAAAGGTGCTAAGCAACCACAGCTCCCATTGACTTTGTGTGAGCCGCAGGTACTCAGTACCTTTGAAAGTCAGGGCTTACAAACTCGACTCCGCTATTACTGTTGGAAAGTAAACTTACCGATCGCAAATATTCAGACTGTTCACTGTGAAACTATATGGCAATGCAATAATATAGCTGCACATTTAAATACACAGAAAAACAGGAAATGCACTTACGGTTGCGACAGCAGAATAAAGTACCTGCAACGTGCATGTAGCAAATGATTTTGTAAAATGTGACTTCGTTTCTAGGCTACGTTTCTTTCACTCTCTGACCCTTGTTTTTATTTTCCTTCTTGCCTTTCTTTGGAGGAAAACTGGAACTAAAAGTTATGGATTGGGACAGAAGAGATTAACGTAGCTTGTCATTGCTATTCCACATTTGTGCTCTGATAGGTCAGCTTGTATTCCAGAACAAAAATGGACCTTTTCCTGAAGGTGGAGCTATGGCCTGTATTTGGGCATATTGCCTTAGGGTTGATGCAAACCAAGCACTGTCAGCATTCAGCATTTGAACCCTTTCTTTTTCTGGCGTAACAGAGTGTTCCTGAAGTAGATCCAGCAGCAAATATGCATGTGTCCCAGTCCCAGCAAAAGACGAGCACAAGTTCCTATTCATCCCCATCTCCAACTGCATATTCAGCTCCTCCGGCCCCACCTCTGAATGTGACTGGTCCCATCACTGCCAATTCTGAACAGGTACTGGGCTGTAATTCTGGTTATTTCAAGTGAATAGGTGAGTAAGGCTCTTAGCTCAGCAAATTAGCCTGTCGTCATAGTCACCTATTTTAATTTTTCTGAAGGTAAGTTTCAGTTGCAACCGAGACCTGGTTTTGTCTAGTGACCGTTTCTACTGTTGTGGATTGTGAAATCAATCTGCCTTTAAGGCTGTAAGAAAGTTGTGAATTTTGTTGTGGTTTAAAAGTTGTGGCCGTGATCGGTTAAAGTTGCAGTTCAAGGCATGTAGCCTGCCTTCCAAAGCAGGGCAGCAGCAGAGAAGAGACATTGTGTGTCCTGCTTGGTTCTCGAAGGCAAGCGTGGCAGTGGGTGGAGTGGGCCAAATTTGAGTGGTGGTGTGACCCTGTCCACTGGTGCGACGCCACTTGCTCAGATTACACCCAGCCATCCTTCTGCTATGGCGGGAAGGGAGGGCAGGCCTAACGTGATGAGTGGCTTTGCGACCTGGTGCAGGGGATCGTAGCATCGCTTAAATTTGCAGCAGCTGTAAAAGGTTTTAAAAGGTATTAAAAGTTGTGGCTTCCGCAACAAAATGGTAGGCTGCAATTTTCTTACATCTGTGTCTATCTCCGGGTACGTCTATACTTACCTCCGGGTTCGGCGGTAAGCAATCGATCTTCTGGGATCGATTGATCGCGTCTTGTCTAGATGCGATAAATCGATACCGGAAGTGCTTGCCGTTGACACCGGTACTCCTGCTCCGCGAGAGGAGTGCGCGGAGTCGATGGGGGAGCCTGCCTGCCACGTGTGGACCCGCGGTAAGTACCTTGTAGTTTGAACTAAGATACTTCGACTTCAGCTACGTTATTCACATAGCTGAAGTTGCGTATCTTAGTTCGAACTGGGGGGGTTAGTGTGGACCAGCTCTAAGATACACACATGTGAGCCCTATTACTGTAGTATCTGAGCATCTCAGTCTTTTAATGTATCCATCCTCCCAGCCCCTGTGTGGTAGGTAAGTCTTACTATTCCCACCTCATGGATGGGGAACTGAGGCACAGAGAGACTAAATAACTTGGCCAAGGTCACAAAGGGAGTCTGTGCCAGAGCTGGGAACTGAATTTGGGGCTCTCAAGTCCCAAACTAGCCCCCTAACCATTGGCCCATCCCTCCTGTGAGATTAAATGAATGCAACTCCAAAGTGGAAAAGCCCTGATCAAGAGGTCATGCCTCCTTTTCCCCTCATCCGCCTGCATTTTGAGAGAAGAGCGTTATGTTTTGTAGCATAATTCGGTTTAATTTAGCTGCTCTTCTTGTTTGCTTCCATGTTTCCATCTGAGTGTTAGCACAGCTGGCTTTGTCATGGTGATGAATAACTAAGCTTGGCAGGATTTGATTTCAATCCACAAAGGTCAGTAAACGTCGATTTCAGCTGACACTGAAATCGACAGGAAAAAAAATCAATTGGTAACAGTTGGTGCGCCTGCAGGGAGACGGTTCCCAGCCCTGCAGCAGCACAGGGAGCCCTCTGCAGTCCTGCTGTCATGGGAGTGAGGGAGCAGGGCCACTGGGGCTCCCTGCACTGCCACAGGGCCGATGAACCCAGACTCTGCAGGTGCAAGGTGCAGGGAAGTCTGCTGTCCTGGCCCAGAGAAGCAGAGACCTCCTGGCCAAGACTGCGAGGAGTTGTTGTCCTGGGCCACCGTGGAGGCCACCTTGCTGCTGAATGGCTCCATCCCCAGGTAGGAGCCATTCAGCAACAGGAATTTCTCCCCTACAGCCAGGGACTCCTTGTGGTCCTTGTGGCTCTCGCTGGGGGTGTCTGTTCTGCCCCACCAGGACCACAGCCTTCCCCACACCTTGTGCCTTGTGATTCAATGTCACCAGCCTTCTGGCAGCACAGGGAACCATCTGCAAGCCGGCTATCAGTGCTGCCCTAATCCCAACCCTGCCACCCCTTAATTTCCAGCAACTGTAAAAAGAAAAATGGTTAAAAATCAAAAAAAGTCTTAAATAAAACTGAATATTAATTGTTGAAATTAGAGAAAACAAAAATCGAATTCTGCCAAGCCTGTGAATTCTGCCACGTCCTTCATAGCTTCTTTCTTCATCACCGATCTAAAATTTACATTACTCTAGATAAGTAATCTTCTTTATGATGACATGTAGTAGCCTCTCTGTGATCTCCAATGACAAGCACCAGATGTACTGCTCCCAAGTCAGATCGCAGAAGCAGGGGAGCTGCAGAGCCAGTTCTTAAAAATGTTCTGCTTAACACTGAAAGGTAATATGGCCCTTGCTTTCCCTCCTCCCCAAAAACAGATCGCCCGGCTGCGTAGTGAACTGGATATTGTTCGTGGGAACACACACGTGATGTCTGAAATGTTAACAGAAATGGTTCCTGGACAGGAGGATTCATCAGACCTTGAGTTACTACAGGTAAGTGTGTTTTCCAGCAAATCTGTGCCTGCAGCCTGGCATAATGGGGTTTCCTTTTCCTACACTCCACTTCAGTTCCTTGGTTTGCCTGGTTCTGTATTGGAGGTGTGCTTGTGTCTGGACTCCTTAACTGGGCAACAGTCACACTTTTTGGATGCTGTTGTGCAATTGAGGTATGAAACACTCAAGGCAACTTCAGTCCTGTTCTGTGAACTTTGCGTGCTCCTTAAGCCTTCGCTAATGCTGTGATATGGAACCCGATGAAAGAATGGGAATTGGAGGAAGGCCTAAGCTATCTATACTTCAGCAAATACTCAGGATCATCTTTGTAATGGCAAAAAGACCCAAATCCTGACAGAGCACAAACCTATTCTCTGTTCCAGGATGGATTAAATTTTACCAAGGGATACTGTCGATTCTTCGTCACTTGAAATCTTTAAATCCAGACTGGATGTCTCTTTCTAAAAGGTACTCTAGCTCAACCAGAAGTTATGGGCTTGATATGGGTTGGTTCTCTGGCTTGTGCTGTGCAGTCAGACTAGATCATCATAATGGCCCTTCTGGATCTGAATCAACCGTGTTCCAGATGAGCCAGCCTTAGTGTGGGACTAAGTTCATCTCCCAGGTTGCATGTCTTGTTCCCCAAGCCAGCAATGGTTAAGGGCGCTACTGGGGCAGTGCACTCAATTTGGGGGCAGGCAGGTCGCACTATACAAACATGAAGTAAACAAGGTCTCTGCCCTGAGAAACTGATGAGCTGACCTACCACCTCCTGTCCCTGTTCCTGTAGTTGTCTACTTTGGAAGAGAAGGCATCGTCTCATCATTGGACCAGTGGGAGGATGCCCCCCCCCCGAGTGGCACAGTGGGAGCAAGGCAGGGAATTGCTTTCTGTGATGCACCAGAGTTTGAAGTTGGTCCAAAAACTGCTCTCTCTGATGCAGCAGCAGTGTGTGTTGTCTCGGAGCCATCATGGCAGCTGATGAGACACTTTACAATAGATAACGAGCCTTTCAGCTACTAAGCCGATTGGATTGATCAAAACAAAAGCAGCTTCCAGGACACCGTGGCAGACCAAAACCGCACAGAACCATTTGTTTACATTTATAAACCACCACGAAAATCCTGACCCAGTGGAATCTCCGTCTAGCTCTGAGGTTAGAGAAATGAGCACACAGCGAAGTGTGACAGTAGTGATTCTTTATTCAGACTGGTTCTCTCCAGCTGATACAGCCTAAATCTGGGTCACCCAGGAGAGAGACTATTTTTGACTTTTAAAGAAGGAAAGGTGTGAGCTGGATACTTGTATGTGAAGGACTTTTTGCTTTGAGGTTTTATATAGTCGTGCTTCTTAAATAGTTCCTGACATTTTCCTCCACAATTAAATGTAAACAGCCTGCCTAAGAGCCAAGTCTGAGCAGAATAGATAGGGACTGTCAGCCCTATCCACTGTGGCAGCAAGCAAACCTCTGAAATGTCACAATCTGCTTCTAAAGTGATGGGATCAAAACTGACATTGGAGAACATGTTCCTCAAGCTGTTAAGGCAGCTGGATTGCATGAAGTGAAATTTATCCAGAGCTTAGAATGTCAGAGCAAGCAAGGAAAACAAACACGTTTTGCTTTCATCCCAAAGGTTATGTACCAACAAGTCATCCTTGTTTAGTGCGGAATTTCCTCTCTGGGGAGGGGTGGGAGAAGAAGTGGGACATGATTTGGTTGAAAAGCTTATGCTCATTGGAGTAAAACTGGGGTCTCGCCAGTAGCGTCAGGCAGCTCTCCTGACATGTTAGTTTTAACCTCTGGTCCATACAATTGCAACCCTGTGCCCTCTGTGACTGCCAGAGGCAAAAGAGTATACCCATTAATTGGTGATGGCAGAGAAAGCAGGAGATCACCTAACTAGGCAAACTAGAACCCATATCCCTTGGGGTGAAAGACTTCTACAATGCCCACATCTATGCAGCCTAGCCTTTAAGGTTCTCTCCTTAATCACTCAGTGCTCTGGGTTACACCTCATCAGTGGACACACTGACCATGACGAGACTCTACTATTTGGTGTTGCGTAATACTACTATCCAGAATGTGTCCGCATGTAGTTCAGCAATGTGTATAGTTTTTGTGTTTGTTTCCATAATACATAATACTTCATGCTGTGTGCCTCCACTTTCCCAGCTGCTGGGGTGTTCCTTTTTCATGGTGTCTAGCCAAACCAGTGGCAAATACCAGTGATCGCTTCCCCATGCTCCCAAGCCCCACAGAACAATATCTTCAGTGCTTTGTGCTGCTAGGCAGAAAACCCGGTGTCTCCATTCTGGGAGGCCCTGGCTGTAGTATGCTTACTCTCAAAAATATTTATGAAAATAATCCATAGGTATTTAATTTTTAGAAAAGCTTTGCCATGTATTTATGATTAAAGAAGAACTGGACACAGAGTCATAAATAGGCCCTCAAGTGTTTTAGGCCAGGGTCCTTCTGAAGTGTGTGTTCTCTTGGGTGGCATTTAATCTTCCATAATCCATATTGTGTTGGTACTTCTCAGCTGATTGAGAACGCTGAGCCACTGATGCATGTGGCTGCAAACAGAGCCCAAGCAAATATACTTGTTCTTCACTGGTTATCGTAATACAGGCATGTGCAATTTATTTCCTTAGGAATTGAACCGAACCTGTAGAGCTATGCAACAGAGGATTGTGGAACTTATCTCCCGAGTGTCCAATGAAGAAGTCACAGAGGAACTGCTGCATGTGAATGATGATTTAAATAACGTCTTCCTCAGATATGAGAGGTGGGACACCTTTTCCAGTAGTCCTATTTACTCCCACATGTTGGGTTTTCTCACAAATGGAGGACAAATTATTAAGCAACCAATAAGATGAAACGCAAAGCAAATAGGAGGAACTGGACCAAGAAACTTGTATGAAGAATTCATATGTTCTCTGTTGTGATTGGCCTTAAATTCCTCCGCGTCCCCCAGAAGGCTTACAGATACTGGTTTTAAAAGCTGCTGAGATTTTTTTCATAGCCAGTGAATTTTGGTTTCTTTTAGAATCGCAAAAAACCACAACTGATTTGAATGTAGCTGTGTCTTCTCAAAGCACTGGGTTGTAAAAGTTGCAAATAAGGGCTGGGCTCCTACCTTTTAAATTCAAAACCAGAAATGTGTTTTAAAATTAGGAGACTGATTGCTGTTACATTACATACCCTACTTACTGTAGCACTCTTGGGGGAAAGTTTAATCTTTCCCTGACAGATTGGTGCAGGAGGTAAACCTATTAAAAAAAGATGCTTGTCTCCCCTACTGATAACACAAGCCTCGTTTATAAAAAGCTTTTTTTAAATAATTTAGACTCTAGCTGTGTGATTTTGTGCTGTCACAGAAAAACTGCACATTGATGCAAAAAATCCGTATCCCCCAATCCATTTCACCTAGTCTTTTGCACCAGACTCTTCACAATTTCTAAACTAGAATTGTTCCTCATGCTCTGAACTGGGACAATTCAGCACCTGTGAGCAGGATTTTACAAATAGCCATGTGTAAATGTCTCTGATTAAGGCTCAGAATGAGACCGATCACCCATAAAATGGTGAAACTTCAAACATTTTTCTCCATCTCGGATCTCACTGAATGGGGGTAAGCTTCTTATTGCATTTTACACCTAAAGGTCAGCTGCACAGTGGAAAAAAATGTTTGAAAAGAGCAAATAAATTGCAGAATCACTGCGTAGGTTTGAATATTTCAAGCATGTGAAAACCAGTTTATCCTCCTCCTCCGTTACTCAGCGTTCAAAATTCCAGATGTTGGTTTCTGGCGCCACTGAGGACATAAAATGCAATCAGTGGATGCAAGCAGGAACTGACTTCTTGAATTTGGGGCTTGTTGGTTAAGAGGAGTAAGTGGCTTGTAAATCTTTCTAGTGAGAAACGTGTGCTACTGTGGGGATGCTTTCATTTTTGGGAGCAAGCAGAGGGGGACTTGATATTTTAGAGAAGCTGAGCATGTACAGTCTCCACTGACACTTACAGAAATCTGGGCCTAAACTTCCCTTTGTTTGCACTTAATTAAAAATTTAGCTTCCACTGTTAGTTTAAGAAATCTTTGCAGTTCACACGGACATTGTCCTGCTGACAGAAGGCCCATGGTATTCAATGAACATGCACAGGTCCGGACTTTCATTCCGGGTGGAGAGGGTTGACGTTTCTAATTGATCTTTATTCAGAAACAGGCTAACTTTAAAATATTTTGTTGGGTTTCGTAGTAAGGAAAGAGGATGATAGACGGCTTTTGTAAAGGGAAATCATGCCTTGCCAATCTATTAGAATTCTTTGAGAGGGTCAGCAAACGCAGACAAGGTGATCCAGTGGATACAGTGTACTTAGACTTTCAGAAAGCCTTTGACAAGGCTCTGAAGCAAAGCAAGCACTCATGGGATAAGCTGGAAGGCCCTCTCATGGATCAATAACTGGTTAAAAGCTAGGAACAAAGGGTAGGAATAAATGGTCCATTTTCAGAATGGAAAGAGTTAAATAATGGTGTCCCCCAGGGGTCTGTACTGGGACTAGTCCTATTTAACATATTCATAAATGATCTGGAAAAAGGGGTAAACCGCAAGGTGGCACAATTTGCAGATGATACAAACCTACTCAAGATAGTTAAGTCCCAGGCAGACTGCGAAGGGTTACAAAGGGATCTCACAAAACTGGGACTGGGCAACAAAATGGCAGGTGAAATTCAATGTTGATAAATGCAAAGCAGTGCACACTGGAAAACATAATCCGAACTAGACATATAAAATGATGGGGTCTAAATTAGCAGTTACCACTCAAGAAAGAGATCTTGGAGTCAGTGTGATAGTTCTCCGAAAACATCCACTCAATGTGCAGCAGCAGTCAAACAAGCTAACTGAATGTTAGGAACCATTAGGAAAGGGATAGTTAATAAGACAGAAAATATCATAATGACTCTATATAAATCCATTGTACGCCCACACCTTGAATGCTGCGTGCAGATCTTCTTGCCGCATCTCAAAAAAGATATATTTAGAATTGGAAAAGATACAGAGCAGGGCAACAAAAATGAGAGGTGGGGAACAGCTTCCATATGAGAAGAGATTAAAAAGACTGAGATTTTTCAGCTTGGAAAAATATGAAATCAGTTCTATAAAATCGTGACTGGTGTGGAGAAAGTAAATAAGGAAGTGTTATTTACTCCTTCTCATAACACAAGAACTAGGGGTCACCAAATAAAATTAATATTCAGCAGGTTTAAAACAAACACAAAAGGAAATATTTCTTCACACAATGCACAGGCAACCTATGGAACTCCTTGCCAGGGGATGTTGTGAAGACCAAAACTATAACAGGGTTCAAAAAAGAACTAGATAAATTCATGGCGAATAGGTCCCTTAGTGGCTATTAGTCAGGGTGGTTAGAGATGCAGTCCCATGCTCTGAGTGTCCCTAGCCTCTGTTTGCCAGAAGCTGAGAGTGGAGGACAGGGGATGGATCACTTGATGATTCTCTGTTCTGTTCATTCCCTCTGAAGCACGTGGCATTGGCCACTGTCGGAAGTCAGGATACTGGGCTAGATGGACCATGGACCTGACCCAATATGGCCATTCTTAGATCTGCATGAGGGCAACCCTGGAGAGTAGGGAAGATCCATTTTTAGTGACTGTTAAGGCTTAGTCTGGGCCACAGACATACAGCTAGTGGAAACAAATGACCCTGCCCAGCCAGGCTTTTTCCTCTAATCAATCTATTTTAGCTGAAGTGGTTTATTTTGTGCTTGGGGAGTGTTTGCCTGGGCATTGGCCCTGAGCAGCTGCTGAGTGCTGGGGAGTGTTTAGACAAGGGGACGGACCCAGGAGATGTTGAGAGAGATGGGGGTTTGCAGAAGCACTGAATGTACTGTAACGTGCTCCTTGGGCAGAGCTGTGCTAGGGTGCTGCTCTGCAAAGCAGGAAATGCTTGGGGAGGGGCGTGTACAGAAGTCTTTTCGGGTGATGGGGAGCTCTTAGATGGGAGCAAGACTTGTTAGTACTCAACTCTCTGCTCAGGGGTATTACCCTTCTGGCTCCAAGTTCTCCTACCCCATTTCTTCAGAAAATCTTTTCAAGTGGCGGTTGACGAAGGGAAGCTGTGCAGCTTCCTTCACGCTGCTTACCCTGGATGTACTGGCCTCTATGTGCTGTAAGAGCAAATTAATCAACACCATCCCTGCTGGAGCCCAAGAACACAACCTCTGTAATAGTTTCCTATCTTCCTTCATAGCAGCTGGGAGATCCCACCAGAAGCCAAGGAAAGCTATCTTCACCCTCGCTGACGTGTCCTGGCTTTGTCTTGAACTTGACTTGCTCAGAGTGCATGTGTGGGTTTGATAGTCTCTCTTTTGTTTTATAACAGGTTTGAACGGTACAGATCAGGCCGTTCGGCACAAAGCGCCAGTAATGGAGTAAGTATCCAGTTCACCTTCTACAGTTGTGGTCCACTCAGAGGAAACTTCTGCCAAACACACGCTGAGTGTCGGCGTTGTGTAACACTAGTTATAGTGAAGAACATTTCCATGACTGGTATTGAATGTACAAAATGAGGTGAAAGATAGAGGCCTTTTGGGGCTCAGCTCGTGCTATTACACAGCTCCGAAGCTAAAGGGGGGGGTGCAGAAACAGAAGGCAACTTAACTAATTCTGAGGTAATAGGGGAGATGTGTGAGAGGTTTTTCAAGGCTGTGTTGGATGGGATAATACCAGAAAATCAAGCCAGATGTTGAGCCTATACTGCTTTTTGGACAGTGACCCAGCAAGATAAATATCTTTTCTGTCTACTTGTGTTGCATTCGTAGTCTAAAAGCCCAATTAAAATACTCCCATTTGCAACAGCTTTCCACAGAGGGCTTTTTTAGGAAGCATCCATCGTTCTCATTTTATTTTGTCTCTGTTATAATTGCTCGGCAGGAAGTATAACCTACCATCTTGACTGTCCCAACAGGTGCTGAGTGAAGTGACGGAGGATAATTTAATAGATCTGGGCCCTGGTTCCCCAGCTGTTGTGAGCCCAATGGTGGGGAGCACAGCACCTCCAACTTCACTTTCCTCGCAACTTGCAGGGCTTGGTAAGTACCTAGTTTTTAAAGGGCAGATCAGCATGGAACAGTAGCTGCATACGACTAGTCCCAAGCCACTCTGTGGTGGGCCTACATTTGGGTCATTGGGTTAACAAGTGCCTGTATTTTGTTTGAGGTAGTAGCTACTAGTAACAGTCTGGTGACATTAAGAAGAGCTGTGGGTAAAAAGCATTGTCCAGCGGTTAGAACAGGGGAAAAGGAGATGGATATGGGCTTTAGTCTGTCACAGATTCACTCTGTAACCTTGGGCTATTCACTTAACCTCTGTGCTTCCATTTTCCTGTCTGTAAAGTCAGGATATTACTCATTTACTTGCTCCAAAGGGGTTTGAGGCTTAGAAGCACTTTTACAAACTTTAATAGAAATCCTCGGATGAATGGATCTATCCAAGCGCAAAATCTTGTGTTTTAAACTAGGTGAAAGGGCTCTTGATCTGGTCATTCCATTTGACCTCTGCATTGGATTCCCAGCCAATTTAACAACGGAGAGAAGCCTAGGACCAAGAACTACAGCTGAGAAGACTGGAATCCTTGTGCAAAATAGCTGTCCTCTTCTGAGCCTTAAATGAACAGTACTGAACCTTACTCAACAGTAAATATTTCAGCGTGAGCATTTTTCAACAAAGAGAAATGCCAACATTTGGAACTTGGTGTTCTGTATTAATGCAAGGGACATTGGGGTTTAAAACCAATTAAAATATAAAATTTGTAAAACATGGTGAAAAGATTAAAAAACAAACAAACCCCAAATCATCACTGATAAAGTTTGCAGATGAGACAAATGTTGGGGGAGTGGTAAATGAAGAGAACAGGTCACTGATACAGAGCGATTTGGATCACCTGGCGCAAGCGAACAATATGCATTTTAATATAGCCAAACGTAAAGTCATACATCTAGGAACAAAGCGCTGCCAGATTTTCTGCCGCCCTAGGCGGCAGAAGGTCCTGCCCCCGAAATACCACCGCAGTCGCCGCCCCCCAAATTGTAGTGCCCTAGGCGACCGCCTAGGTCGCCTAATGGGTTGCGCCGGCCCTGCAAAGAATGCAGACCATGCTTACAGGATGGGGGACTCTCTTCTGGGAAGCAGTGACTCTGGAAAAGACTTGGGGTCACGGTGGATAATCAGATGAACATGTGTAATGCTGCAGCCAAAAGGGCTAATATGATCCTTGGATTTATAAACCGCGGAATATCGAGTAGGAGTAAGGAGGGTTATAGTACTATTTTGTTTGGCACTGGTGCAACTGCTCCTGGAATACTGTGTCCAGTTCTGTCCACAATTCAAGAAGGATGTAGGTAAATGCACACTGAAAATAATGCACACATTTTTAACAGGCTAATTAACCATTGGAACAACTTAACAAGAGTTGTGGCAGATTTCACCATCACTGGCCAATTTTTAAATCGAGATTGGATTCTTTTCTAAGAGAGAGGCTCTGGTTCAAACAGGGAATTAATTCTGGGAAGTCCTTTGCCCTGTGTTACACAGGAGGTCAGACTAGATGTCACAGGAGTCCATTCTGGCTTTATCATCTATGAATCTATGAAAATTGTTTAAAATTAGCTATGTGGCTGTGATTGCTCCCTTATCACCGACAGAACCATGTGAAACCAATTGAATCTCAGTGCAAATTCATAATACAGAAAAATGCAAATGACTTTTTCTCATTCCATTAACTTTCTTCGTCTCTTCACTTTCCTGCGTTTGTTTTTCCTCATTCCCTCCCTGCCTGGGTTCTCAAAAACAACGAAACTGGGGGATGGGAGGAGAGAAGGCAGCTTTGTACTACTTGGGCGGTATAGTCTATATCATGGTTCTTGAGAGATGGGAAATCTCTCTCGATGCTACTCAGAGTGAAAACTCTGCTAGTAGTTACCATGTATAAACAGAACTGTGGCTAGTACAGTTTCAACCCTCTTGTGGACAGGGCCCAGAGGATGTCTCCTACACACTTCATCAGTCTCAGTGCAACATTATGACTCATCTACTTTTCACTGTAACTAACCTATATTGCTGATGATTTCTTGTGTATCCTAGGTATTCCTGACTGGTACTTGATCACAATTCACTATTCTATTGGTCACTTATACTCTGTGCTTTGTTGTTGTTGTTGTTGTAGACTTGGGCACAGACAGCGTCAGTGGAACACTCAGCTCCCTTCAACACTGTAACCCTCGAGACGACTTTGACATGTTTGCGCAGACAAGAGGCAGTTCCTTGGCTGACCAACGGAAGAGGTAAATTGGCATTTGGTTTTAATGCTCTTTATTCCTAGGGAACAAAAATGTGAGGCCTCTTCAGATCAAAGTGATTTTATAGCTCAAATGATGTGGATTTTCGTCCTCTGACTTTACTTAATCTAAATTTTCTCCTGCTGGATTTCATCGGATTATTTGGGTAGGGGGGAGGGTGTTTTTATAGGCCAAGGTCCACTGTAGATTGGTTCAGTAATTTCAGGTGCCATCTCATTTCACCTCTGAATTTCCAAGTCACCTAGAAACTTAGGAATTAAGTCACTTAAATTATTTTTCTACACAGTGAGGGTGTGGGAATTAACCTCCCCTAAATAACCCTGAAGGTATCAGAGCATGAGAGTCAACTTTGGGAGACGAGCAGTGGTTTAGGGTAAGCCTATACTGCAGTTAAAAACCCGTTGCTGGCCCATGCCACCTGCGTTGGGCTCAGGCAGGGGTGCTGTTTGTTTGCAGTGTAGACATCCACGGTCAGCCTGGAGCCTGGGCTCTAGGACCCTGCAAGGTTGGAGGTTCCCAGAGCTCAGGCTGCAGCCAAACTGGAATGTCTGCACTGCAATTAAATAGTCCCTTAGCCCTGCAAGCCCAAATCAGCTGGCACGGGCCGGCTGCAGGTGTCTAATTGCTGTGTAGACATGCCCCCCTTAGAGACTTTCACCTATAGGTCATGGCTTCAAATCCTGCACAGGTCTGTAATGACCAGTCGTTATCACCTGGGCCTGGGAACTGAATTACCATCTCACGCTTAGGGCTGGTTCCTGCTACTCCAGATCGAGGTATGTTGGCTGGGCACCATGAAGAAGCTCCCACACTCTACCTAGTCTGTAGAAAACAAGACTTCAGCCTCCAGGGCTGCAGATTAGGCACCTTTCCAGGCACTAAATAGGCATGAATATTTTTAATGGAAAACTAACCCACATTCTTCTGAGAGCTTTTGATCTCTCTCAAGTGAGGCTCGTTAAGAGGAGACTGTCAAGTATTTTTGTTCCACGTAACCCTTCTCTAGGGCTCTCCCTGGTTTCAAATTCAAGGAAATACAGGCAGTATCAGAGATTGGAAGCGAGTCCAAGTATTGCAGTAGGAACAGCACCAATATCCTTCAGTGACAGGCACCTTAGACATGCAGCTAGATAGCATCCCATGCACCGTAATTACCTTTCTCAGCTAGTAACTACCCACTGCATTCTATTTGTGCCTGTTTTCTCCAAAAAAAATAATCCTAGTCAGGCAGAGACCGGGCCTGGAAAATCACAGCTATGAAGTGACAACTCAAAGGTCCTTAAGAGCAGGAGGGCTTAAGCAGCCATAAGTATGGATGTCCACGCTGCTCCAGCTGTAATAGAAATAGATTTGATCAGTTTAGCATTTTAATTTAGAGTTGCTAAATTAGCACTAAGGGTTTCTAAATTCACACTGAGGTGCTAAGCCTGGGGTAAATACATAATAGTGGGATCTAAATCCAGATCCCTTACAGGGTTTCCATTATGCCCGTTGTACTAAATGAAACGTGAAACTGCTCTTCTCAGCCTGCAACTCCATCTCCGTGTATGGGAAGTAATGGACCAAAGAGCACGCTGAAATCCATCATTTCAGAAGGGAGGATTATTGTACCTTCATTAGCTCTTACGCTGTTAAAATAGAGCGAAATAACTCCCTAAAGATTTGGCTGTAGCTTATTCTGCTGCTGAAGCAAGGCAGAGGTGCCACAAGGACTCCTCATTGTTAAGGCATAGACTGTGGATTGCAGGCCCTCAGGCTGGTAGAAGCAGGCATGCCAGGGAGAGGTGTTTCACCAAGTCAGGCATGTAGCACCACCCAGTGGCTAATTTACAGGTAGGTGTTGGTATCGGCTTGAGAGAGTCGATTACTAGTCCTTGTGCATGAAGGGGAAGTGATAGTAGTGCTCCCTTAGCTTAATAACTATGATTATGATCCTTTTCAGTAGCAATTTTGCTTATCTTTTTAAATACCCAGTAAACAGGCAGCAGATCTGGTGAACTGAGCTAGTGGGTTTTCCTGCATCTTTGTTTCCTTATACCACTTGTTGATTACTGTGGCCACCTCCATCATGACCACCCCATAACTGGTAGGACCTTCTTCCCTACCCGTTATCTGATGAGGTCATATCTCCCCTTCCCTCCACTGGCTCCCCCTTCACCACATCATGTTCAAGCTTCTTGTCACCACCTTTTAAGGCTTCACAAGAAACTTAAGTGCTCTCTATCCAGTCCCAGCATTTTGCGCGCCCTCCCTTCCCCCCGCTCTACCATTGATGACAAGCTTCCAAGCCCCGTGTGCCTGTTTCTGCCCAGTCACCTTCAGGCATTCTTCTGTGCTGTCCTCTGCGTTTGGAATGCCCTTTCTGAGCTGACCTCCAAAGCCACCTGAAGGCTCACTTCTACCATGATAACTGTAAGAAACTTGCCGATTTAAATCTCATTCTGTCTCAAAAAAACCCAAAACTGTTTGCTCCATTGTACTATGCCCTAACCTTCAGTAAGTAACTTGGTAATCATATTTGATGCCTGTCCAGCCTCCCCTCTCGATCCCTACTCTGTCTCTTACACATCACATGTTGCATCATATCTGAAATCGATTTGTAATCTCCTCGGGTCAGAGAATGTATTTTTATCTGTACTGAGAGGCACCTACTGCACTCAAAAAAATGATATGCTCCATGCTAGTCTCAAATAAAACAAGCGGCAGACTAGTAGATTAGTGCCTAAAGCATTTGTCCTGGCATTCAGTGATGGCTGGATTTGCATCAGTTCTGTTTGTTCCTTTGTTTCAGTGTGACGTATGAAGATCCACAGGCTGTCAAAGGACTGGCATCTGCTCTGGATGTTCGAAAACAGAATACAGGAGGGGTACGTCATTGCTCTGAAACAAGCACTCCAGCACAAAGCTGGGAGCATGGCTTGCAATGCTGCATCTGTGTCTGAGTTAAACTTTTCATTTGGTATCCCACCAATGGATTCGCAAGGGACCATTGTCCAGTGCATGGATGCCAGTGAGGGCCATTTTGAAAGAAATATCAAAAGAGCACGTACTTGCTTTGTAACCATTCCTAAGGAGAATTGCTACTTAGAGTAATCAGTATAGTGGGTGAATGCTTCTGTAATCTTGCAGTCTGCCTGGATGTCTCGCTTTCTGGGAGGAGCCGCTGCAGAACTGAGTGTGGGTAACCTTCTATGAACGCTGATTAATTCTTGTCTATGAAAGTTAATATAGTTGTGCAGAAGGAACACAATCTGTCTGCAGTTGTAACAAACTAGATAGTAGTGACTTAGAGCGAGAGATGCCTTTAACTCCTTTGGCCAGCCCCATCTAGGGATGTGAGCTGAGTAAGGAGCAAGTGAAATTCTCAGATATTCCCTTAACCCCTTTTCACCACTATGTACTCTCACAGTTGTCAGTATAAGTCTAGTGACAGCTGAAGGAGTTCAGAGCCTCTGCCTAACCTGGCTTCGTATTGACCACTAGGGAGCATGGAAGAGCCAAGCAGCACACAGCCTTCTCCACCAGCTGAGTTGCATCTCCCCATCCCCTCTCGATTCTCTCACATGCTGGCAGGTTGCAATCTATTCTGAGGCATCTGGCCAGCCCAGCGAACTTTCACTCTGAGCCAGTGAGAAATGGGAATGAATGTTTGTGTGTGAGTCAGGCCAGGTGTGCCCAGCTGCCGCTTAGACTATTGAGAACAGAATCTTTAATCCCTTTTTTGTTGCTGGCTAACTTTGGAATTACCAATGGTGAGTGCTGATGTGAGGCACAAGCCCTTGACAATGGGGGCTCTATTCCACTGGTGGCTAAGGGGTTAGTATCCTTAATCGTTAGCAATCATCTTGTTCTTATTTTATACCTGCTTCAGGCACTTCCGCCACCTGTCACTCACACCAGCATAGCTGTTACTTTGCCTGAAGCGTTGTCAGTTCAAAGGACTATGTCTGAACTAATCTGACTGGTCAAAGTATTGGAAAGCAGTCACTCTCCTGGACTATTGAACTTTGGGCTGTGGGATGTCATTACAGCTCAGATCTTCACCCTCTTTTCAAAGGTCCCGGTGACTGTACCACGTAGTCAAAATAGCCCATTTTATGATTGGGTAACATGGGCACTGCTTGTCTGGGAGGAAACATAAACCCTGAATAGCTAGGAGACAAAATACACTTTACAAAATGATGCAAGGATGTTGGGCACTGCTACTTAGAGGTGATAAACATGCTAATAACGTCTAGAAGTTATCAACCCCTGTTGGTGTAATAAGAGTAAAGTTGTTGGTAGCTCCTTGTTCTCTATAAACTAATGTGTGGTTTAATTAGGACAGAAGGCTTAACTGAAGGATATTTCACTTATAGGGCATCCAGGAAGGGGCCAAAGCCTATATCAGCACATTCTTCTTAGGCTTCTCATTTTAATGAGGTTTTCTTACATTAAAATTCTTCTCCTCAAACTGAAGTAGTGCAGTCGTTCTCAAATGGTGGTCCATGGAGAGATGGCTGGTCATAGGCAGTTGACTATCCTTGTTTTCAGCTGCTAAATCATATGACGACAGCTAAAAATTATATTACTTTTACCTTTCCATTTTGGGAATTGCTGTAGTTGCCAGCGAGATGTTGCAGGATGGCAACTGGGAAGGGCAGTGCCCATGAGATAATCTTTGTTATCCACACTGTGGAGAAGATGGAGTGTTTCCACGTTGTGATACGTTCTCCAGCCCAACTCCTGAAATGATATTATGGTTTTGGTTCCCTTAAACTGTGAAGCCCTTAAAGATGTGCGTTTTGAAAGACTGCCAAAACATTTCATCCGGCTTGGGTTATTTGCTCTCCCCTGGGCACTATCATCATGTCCTTCATAGTTGGCATTGCCAGGCTAAGCGTGGACAGTCTGTCTGGAGACCAAGAAAAATTGGAGGAGAAATAATGTTTGCTGGGAATTATAACCTCCAAAAAAGGGAAGTTCCAGAATGCCTTAAACTTAGGGATTTTTGTGAGGTCCAACAGATTTGAGTCGTCCAGTCCACAACCTGCCGACTTTTAAGAATAATAGAAACGTCAGCCTCACTTAGAAATGGTTAGTTCTCTAACCTACTCAAAGGAAGCCAAGAGGCCAGGACTGCTGATTCTGATGTACAGATCGCACAGAAGTGTGACAGAAGCGGGTGGTGTCTTTAAGTAGGTTTTACCAGAAAGGACCCTATGCATAGTATATGCTTCTATTTTACTGCTGTTGTATTATTACCTTATCACGGGTGTTGCTGTGGTTTCTTTCTTTATGGGCATTTCTGTTCTCAACACAGAGGAGAGGTAAAGGTGGGAGCTCAGACATGGAGCCCATAGACAAGTGGCTAATTACACAAGGAATGGTGAGGATTTCACCAATTAAAATGAACCCTGTTCCCCACTCCCGTTCCTTCTGTAGAATAACCATCCTGTGTTTACCTCTCACCCAACCTGCTAAGCTACCCCAAATCAGACAGTACAAGGATTTTATTCCCCGCCTGTATAATTGTCTAGGGGATGGGGAAAGATTAATATTCAGGGGGTAGGTTTCCCAAAATGCATTTTTATATTGCCCAGAGACCTGCAGCCCCGTAAGTCTCCTGTTGGCCTCAGTTGTAGCAGTTTCTACCGTCCATATTCACCTTTGAAACAGGGCTGGGGATCCTGTTAGTTCCTTTTACTGTCTCGATTTATATATGCAGTATCCACTTTTCAAGCATAAACACAAGCTCCATGTATTTAATTCAGAGATGGGTCATTTTCTAGGCTCCTTTTTGAACTCCTTTAATAGCAGCCCACTCCTGTGGCACTTAACTTCAGGTGGCTGTGCTCACCATGGAGTTCGCAGGATCAAACCTCATTGGACTGAGTAGCATAGGAGAAGGGTACTTCTCTGTGTCCGTCTCTTTTTCCGCTTACTCTAAAACAAGGGAACCTGAGTATGCTAGCTGGATTGATATGTTCCCTTGGTACTGGCAAATGTCCCATTAAGGAATATTTCCTGCATTAAGGCTTTCAGGATTGGACTTTATTGGGAGGACCTGGTGCAGTGTTTCCAACTCTGGCAGTTTTAGTGTGAGTCTCGTGATACTTTAAGCATCAGGTCCTGAAGACAGCTGAGCACGTGAGAATCTCAGCATTCATTTAAATAATAGTTGTGTGCTCTGATGCTTACGATGAAAAGTTTGAAAGTGTGACCTGAGTGCACCTTAAAGGCTCAGAAACCAGAGGGAAATAAAGAGAACCCAACGATTGTTTTAAAATAACTAATTTTTAAGTCCGTCTTGATTCCGGGTGGGGGAAGAGGGACTGACTCACTTTTAATTTTTGAGGTTGCACTATTGTTGTGACCTGCTTTCAGATATAAACACACACATCTTTAGGAGGAGTGGTCAGAGTCCTGATATGAGACTTATTGCAGGTTTATAGGTGTGAGTTTGGCTTAGATTTTTTTTCAGGGGGGACGAAGGGGAAGAAGGGGAATTTTTTGGAAGTGGGCTGAGGCTTTTTACTATTAAGCTTTAGAGCTGGGACTATCAGAAGAGCTTATAGGGCCTGGGTATCCAATTCCTACTGAAATTCAATGGGGCACCCAACTCCTGAAGGGGCCTTTGAAGGTCTCAGCCTACAAGGGACATGTTGGGAGAAAAATTAAGGTCCAGAAAGTAAAGGGTGTAGGGCATCAGAACAGCTCAATTAAATGAAATCGATAGATGCGAAATCGGAAAATATAACACAAGCCCAGGTTTTTAAATGAGGTGTGTGAAACTGCACGTTGCCTAAAACATGCATGCCAGTGCCCAGTGGAGACACGGCAATCGGATATTTGGGCATGTACATAGCCAGTAAGGTGCCTGACTTAGGCATTTGCAAATGAATGTGACCGAGTGCATCCCGGGTTCTCTGCACGTATCAGGGGCACACTGTGTGCCCAGTTGCGTGCACCTAACTTTGAAATGGAACTCTGGTTCCCAGTGTTTGTCAGACCCACAATTACTAATATAAGCTTGAAAGAGCCGTAAAAGGAATGGCACCTGCTTCTCCTCTGACGCCTTTGGAAGCAGTTCTGGTCTGTGGAGCTGTAGCAGCCACTGATGATCTATTCCATTTTGTTCGAGGTTCATCCATTATGAATAATCCTGTGATTGAGTTGGTTCCCCGTGTTTGCTCTTCCACTGTTTACAAGTGCAGGGAAGCATGAAATCGGCGCCCCTGCTGTTCACTCCACTCAGGCCACTGCCTTATTAGAAAAACAAACACAATATCTGCTTATTGGCTTGTGGTTATTCGGCCTGGAAAAAAGGATACTGCAGCATTCATGGAGGCGCCCAGGTTTTGGGGGGGATCTGGCTGCCCTAGTATGAACAAGGTGCCAGTTTCTGCCCTCACAAGGTGCTCACCCTTGTTCGTATTCTAGCCCTACAATAAAACAGGACTAATCATTAACTCAGTTTCTCTCAACCGGCTGTAGTTCTTAACCATATTTATTAATCCCACTTTGTAGTATTTACAGTGTAAATGGAATAACTAGCATCCTAGTCCTGAACTACGGTGTGTTCAAATTCTTTGGAAACTTTTTGTACTGTTGACATACGGAAAAGAGGGATGATATTGACACACCTCTCGACTGTGTCTGGGCAGCGTTAGGGATGTTAAAGGGGAGGGGTTTTGCCTTTTTAAAAAGCTACCAGAGCATCATTTAAACTTTTCATGAACCGGCACTTGGAGTTGCCTTCTTTCCAAACTGTGACGGCCTTAAGTTAGGTTTAGTTCCTTCCTCTCTCCCCCACCCCCTTTGTGCCATTCCCCAGCACCATACCCGCATGCATAAGAAGTTCACTCTAGGATTCTGTGCACACTGTTCTAGTGAACTTTGCACTATTTGCTCCTGCTCATGGTGCTAGCCCATTGGGGGCACCAGGCAGGAATATTTTGGGGGGCTGCCCACACAACACATACGAATAATTAATAGGGGCCCACCTTGAGTTGCTTGGGGCCCTAAGCATTTGCTTAGTCTGCTTACATCTAGCGCCGGCTCTGACTGAAGGTAGGGCAATGTAGTTCCAGTGTCTCTCTCCCTAGATTTGAACAGCTGCCAAAGTGTAAGGAAGATGTTGGATTGTCTTAAGTTATCTACACACTACCTAGCAGCATGCCAGCTGGGTGCCTGTTACATAAGTCAAAAGCTTACATTGCATAAGCCACCCACTTTATTTTACAATTCGAAACCACCACTGTTGCCAGCAGGTCAGTAGCCAAATTGTTTGGGATAAAAAAAACAAACCAGAATTCACCTAAAGCTAAAACAAACTGCTCTCTGCAGCGGATCCTAAAAGACACGAAGCTGGCAGGGGAAGGGGCAGGTTCCTCTCAATAATTAAGATACTTTGTTATACTACCTTTATTGTTGGGTACTAACAAATTGGAACGCCACCACATCTGCCTGGGATAAAGGAAGATTTGGGACTCAAATGTAACAGTGACCTGTATGACATGGACAATTGAGAGGTACATCCTTTTTCCCTGGAGCCTGGTTTGCTCTTCCTTGTGCCACAGTTAGGAAAATAAACTTTTGGTGAAAATAGCATCAAACGTGCCCGGATGAACTCTCTCAGCCAGAGTTTTTGGAGATCTTTATTTCCCTTAGCGGCAGGATCCCTGTCCCCATCCTCAATACACACAGGGCCAGTTGAGTCACTTCCTTCTGAAGACAATGTCAAGCTCATTGTCTGTCATTTCATTTTCCCTTTTCCAGGGATTCTGTAAAGCGCTTCCTACAATGTTCTGAAAAGGCTAATTCCCTGTACCCATGATGGCTTCAACTGCCTGGGCTTGCCTGACCCATAAGATGTTGCATCTTATTTACAACGTCTCGGGCACAACAGGCCGTGTTAGTGAACATATTGTACATGAATTAAAACCTCCACTACAGTATATACAGTAAACACCCACAGTTACAAGTTGCAGACAATCAAGTAGCCAATTAAATTGTTTAAAATTAGGATTCACTTTAGCTGCGTGAGGGTCACTGCAGCCTTAAAAAGACAAGATTGAAGGATTCCTCTGAAATAGGTGTCATCACACGTGCCTTAGAGCTCTACTGTTACTGTAATATATCATACGAAGAATTTTTGATCACCAAGTGAGGGAAGAAATGAATAGCAGCTAAGCAAGTATTGGTGTCAGTTGTATTAAATATCCAGAAAGGAATAGAATTGGCTATGCTAGTACAAGGCTGTAGTCTAGCAACAAGTAGTATGAACCTTGTTGGACAGACATTCTAAGAGCATGAATGAGTTCACCTAGAGACTCGAGGTGTCATTTCATACCTGCTTCTTTTCCAGTGGGATCCTATTGAGTAGAAACATAATTTGTGTTATTAACAACACCCCAGGCCTTTTTAAGGGTAGAATATTGGATGTTATCAGCACTAAGGAAACGGTTTGGCAGTATTTCTTTGGTGGGGTCTTTATTGCTGATGAAACCACAAACAAAAACTGCCTTCAAATAATGGTGTCTAACTTTAATTCCAAGTTTCCTTGGATTTTATGAGTTGAAGGTTCATCCTCTGTTCTCTTACCCCTCCTTTTTCATCTTTCCCGATTGTCCAAGTGATCTCGCTAATTTTGGAAAAACCCTACGAAATCGCAAAGAAATCTTAACAATCCGTCCTTAGTTTTTGAACTGAAGTCTGTTCTTAATGTTGCTTGAATGTTTTATAGGTTAATTCCCATTTTCTGTTTGCATGTAGACTTTTGAAAAAAAATGTATTGCAATAGCTTTATAAAATAACCCTCCTTAAAAACAAACCATCAGAGGGGGCCACATAAATACATGAGAAAGAGAGACAGTAGTTTAAAACTCCTATGATGGTTTTTAAATTGCCGCTGGCTGAATAATTGCATGGCTGGGGCTCGTGTCTGAAGTCAGTAATCTCCAAAGCTATTAAACCAACTAGTCAGCTCTGCAAGACGCAACTTGTTCGTGGAGGCTAGCAAGTCAAAAACTGTCTACAGAATCTCTCTTCCAGTTAATGGCTGTTTAAGCTAGTGCTCAGCAACTTGGAACCACTGCCTTCAGCATCATACACGCACGATCCAATTTATCCTTGCCAATTAAAAACGGAGACTTGTCCTGCACAGAAATCTGGCCTATTCCAATCTAAACTGCAAGTGCTCCTGCGGTGTTCAGGATCTTCATATCATTACTGTCAGTTACTGGGCAAACCACATCTCTGCCCCATCCTGCTTCGGTCAAGTGCACCCTGGTCTCAACCCTCTAGCCATCACCTGTCTCTGGGTGGAATCACATGATTCTCCCACTCTCAGACTGGACCTAGTTTACCAGATGTTTTACCATCATCCACACAGGGATCCTGGTAGGACTAACTTCCCTGAGCCTCTTCCATGGTGCTTTGCTTTGTCACCTTGTCTCCCCAGCTTAGTGACCTCTTCCTGGGCAGTCCCTGGCAACTCACCCCCTTCTTTTCCTCCGAAGGCTCTAACTGCTTAGTGTGTTTAGTCTCCGTGCCTGACAGAACAGCTGTGCCACTTCAGCTTAGAGCCTGCAAGCATGCCACTGTCTTCCAAGTGCGTGCTGGAGTGTCCTTATTTAGGTCTATTGCGTTACTTTCCTGTTTGCGCTTTCCACAACCCCTCTGTTAAGTTAGAGCCATACAGTCCTATAGGAACTTGTAAGAGACCAGTGTACAAGAACTTCCCCTCGCTGACCAATCATACGCAGCATTAATACAACAGTTACATCCAAGTATCCATAACATTATTACAGATCAGATCCACGTCCGTAACCATTACAAAGCAGGAGATGGTGGTTTTTATCATAATGTGTTTGAATAAGTAGGAAGACAGCCATAAACAATGAAGAGTCCTCTTTAGGCAAACTACCTTAGCAAGATTCGGGGAGAATCTCCTGTGGAAAAAACATTTCGGTATAATTTACTTTTGATTCTGAAGAGTTTATCCTCAATATGGTCATTCTGGGTTACGGTCTCTCTGGAAGGACTGATCAAAGTGGCTTAATTTGCCTGTGGGAAGACTGCAATATTTGAGCCCCTTTGTTATGTTTGTTACTAACCTTAGACAATGGATAATGTCCATTTAAAAAAAAAAAAGTAAGTGGTGGGGG